CTCTCCTTCCACCTCCCTCTCTTTCCGTCCTTCCACCCCTTTCTTTCCTTCCTTCCACCCCCTTTCTTTCGTTCCTTCCACCCCCTTTCCTTCCTTTCTTCCTTCCACCTCCTTTCTTTCCTTCCTTCCACCCCCATTCCTTCCTTCCTTCCTTCCACCCCCTTTCCTTCCTTCTCTCCACCCCCCTCTCATTTTTTCTTCTGCTGTTTTCTTCTCTCTCTTTTTCTTCTGCTGTTCTTCATTCCTACATTTTATTTTTATAAAACGCTGTGAGGCTAGGCTGAGTGGGTGTGACTGGCCAAAGTTAACCCAGCTAGTTTCTGTAACAGAGTGGGGAATCAAACCTGGGTCTCCCAGAACCTAATCCAGTGCTCTGACCACTACACCACACTGGCTGCACAGATGGTTCTAAATTCACACTGGCTAAGTTTATGTGAGGCACTTAACTGATGCATACATACTAGTTGCCTCATTTTGTTCTTGGGTAGCATAAGAGGAGCCCAGGACTTTACACTGGTGAACGTTCCAGTGATGGTCAGATTCTGAGTGATGCTGGTCTTTTTGCATTTCTGTTAGTCACTCTGACATTTCTCCAGGCCCCTTCCCTAACCTGTTTAGCTGGCTTCTATATAACCAATAAGGAAGTGCCTTTCTGTCTCCTGGGCAAGTCCCTTCCAATTAAAGGATGAGATTGGTTAGAACTTGGGTCAGGGGCTTTTTGAGTTGTGATACTATAAATCAGCTGGTTTCTGATTAACAGAGATACTGCGTTCTTATCTCACTACACATGAAACACTGTTATTGTTGTTCAGTCGCACAGTCGAGTCCCAGCCCTCCTGTCTTCCGCTATCCTCTGAAGCTTTGCCTTCCAGGGAACAGTCAGGGTTGATTTCTTTTAGGATTGACTGATTTGATCTCGCTGTCCAAGGGACTCTCAAGAGTCTTCTCCAGCACCATAGTTCAAAAGAATCTATTCTTCGGCGCTCGGCCTTCCTTATAGTCCAACTTTCTCAACCATACATTACTACTGGGAATACCATTGCTTTGACCATGCGGACTTTTGTTGGCAGGGTGATGTCTCT